AGCATCCTTTGGATATAAACCCAAAAGTGGTATTGCTGTGTCTTGAGGAAGGTTGTTTCCTAATTTTCTGAGAAATCGTCACACTGACATCCATAGGGGTTGTACCAGCTTGCATTCCCACCAGAAATGCAGAAGTGTTCCCTTTACCCCACAACCTCTCCAGCATAAGTTGTCATCACTGTTTTTGATCTTGGCCATTCTTACAGGTGTAAGATGGAATCTCAGAGTTGTTCTGATTTGCATTTCTCTGATAGCTAAGGATGTTGAGCATTTCCTTAAGTGTCCTCCAGCCATTTTAGATTCCTCTGTTGAGGGTTCTCTGTTTAGGTCTCTACCCCATTTTTTTTTATTGGATTATGTGATGTTTTGATGACCAATTTCTTTTTTTTTTTTTTTGCTTTTTATGTTTCATGGTTTTTTTGTTTTTTTTTTAAATTTATTTATTTATTAAAGATTTCTGTCTCTTCCCCGCCACCGCCTCCCATTTCCCTCCCCCTCCCCCAATTAAGTCCCCCCCCCCTCAGCCCGAAAAGCAATCAGGGTTCCCTGTCCTGTGGGAAGTCCAAGGAACCCCCACCTCCATCCAGGTCTAGTAAGTTGAGCATCCAAACTGCCTGGGCTCCAACAAAGCCAATGCGTGCAGTAGGATCAGAAACCCATTGCCATTGTTCTTGAGTTCTCAGTAGTCCTCATTGTCCGCTATGTTCAGCGAGTCCGGTTTTATCCCAGGCTTTTCCAGACCCAGGCCAGCTGGTCTTGGTGAGTTCCCAGTAGAACATCCCCATTGTCTCAGTGTGTGGGTGCACCCCTCGCGGTCCTGGGTTCCTTGTTCATGCTCTCTCTTCTTCTGCTCCTGATTTGGACCTTGAGATTTCAGTCCTGTGCTCCAATGTGGGTCTCTGTCTCTGTCTCCTTTCATCGCTTGCTGAAGGTTAATATTCAGGAGGATGCCTATATGTTTTTCTTTGGGTTCTCCTTATTTAGCTTCTCTAGGATCACTAATTATAGGCTCAATGTCCTTGGTTTATGGCTAGAAATCAAATATGAGTGAGTACATCCCATGTTCCTCTTTTTGGGTCTGGCTTACCTCACTCAGGATAGTGTTTTCTATTTCCATCCATTTGCATGCAAAATTCAAGAAGTCCTTGTTTTTTATTGCTGAGTAGTACTCTAATATGTATATATTCCATACTTACTTCATCCATTCTTTCATTGAAGGGCATCTAGGTTGTTTCCAGGTCCTGGCTATCACAAACATTGCTGCTATGAACATCGTAGAGCATATACTTTTGTTGTATGATAAGGCCTCTCTTGGGTATATTCCCAAGAGTGGTATTGCTGGGTCCAGGGGTAAGTTGATCCCGAATTTCCTGAGAAACCGCCATACTGCTTTCCAAAGTGGTTGCACAAGTTTACATTCCCACCAGCAATGGATGAGTGTACCCCTTTCTCCACAACCTCTCCAACAAAGGCTATCATTGGTGTTTTTTATTTTAGCCATTCTGACAGGTGTAAGATGGTATCTTAAAGTTGTCTTGATTTGCATTTCCCTGATTGCTAAGGAAGTTGAGCATGACCTTAAGTGTCTTTTGGCCATTTGAAGTTCTTCTGTTGAGAATTCTCTGTTCAGCTCAATGCCCCATTTTATAATTGGGTTGATTAGCCTTTTACGGTCTAGTTTCTTAAGATCTTTATATATTTTGGAGATCAGACCTTTGTCAGTTGCGGGGTTGGTGAAGATCTTCTCCCAGTTAGTGGGTTGCCTTTGTGTCTTAGCGACAGTGTCCTTTGCTTTACAGAAGCTTCTCAGTCTCAGGAGGTCCCATTTATTCAATGAGGTCCTTAATGTCTGTGCTGCTGGGGTTATACGTAAGAAGTGGTTTCCTGTGCCCATGTGTTGTAGAGTACTTCCCACTTTCTCTTCTATCAGGTTCAGTGTGTTTGGACTGATATTGAGGTCTTTAATCCATTTGGACTTGAGTTTTGTGCATGGTGATAGATATGGATCTATTTTCATTCTTCTACAGGTTGACATCCAGTTTTACCAGCACAATTTGTTGAAGATGCTCTCTTTTTTCCATTGTATACTTTAGTTCCTTTACCGAAAATCAGGTGTTCATAGGTTTGTGGGTTAATGTCAGGGTCTTCTATTCGATTCCATTGGTCTACTTCTCTGTTTTTATGCCAATACCAAGCTGTTTTCAATACTGTAGCTCTGTAGTAGAGTTTGAAGTCAGGGATGGTAATGCCTCCAGACGCTCCTTTGTTGTATAAGATTGTTTTGGCTATCCTGGGTTTTTTGTTTTTCCATATAAAGTTGATTATTGTCTTCTCCAGATCTGTGAAGAATTTTGATGGGATTTTGATGGGGATTGCATTGAATCTATAGATTGCTTTTGGTAGAATTGCCATTTTTACTATGTTGATCCTCCCAATCCAGGAGCAAGGAAGATCTTTCCATTTTCTGGTGTCCTCTTCAATTTCTTTCTTCAAAGACTTAAAGTTCTTGTCAAATAGATCTTTCACATCCTTGGTCAGAGTTACCCCAAGATATTTTATGCTATTTGTGGCTATCGTGAAAGGTGATGCTTCTCTGATTTCCCTCTCTGCTTCCTTATCCTTAGTGTATAGGAAGGCCACTGATTTTTTGGAGTTGATCTTGTATCCTGCCACATTACTAAAGGTGTTTATCAGCTGTCGGAGTTCTTTGGTAGAGTTTTTGGGGTCGCTTATGTATACTATCATATCATCTGCAAATAACGAGAGCTTAACTTCTTCTTTTCTGATACGAATCCCCTTGATCCCTTTATGTTGTCTTATTGCTATTGCTAGAACTTCAAGCACTATATTGAAGAGGTATGGAGAGAGTGGACATCCTTGTCATGTTCCTGATTTTAGTGGGATGGCTTTGAGTTTTTCTCCATTTAATTTAATGTTAGCTGTTTGCTTGCTGTAAATAGCTTTTATTATATTTAGATATGATCCTTGTATCTCTAATCTCTCCAAGACCTTTATCATAAAGGGGTTTTGAATTTTGTCTAATGCTTTTCAGCATCTAATGAAATGATCATATGGTTTTTTTCTCTCAGTTTATTCATATGGTGGTTTTCATAGATTTTCATATGTTGAACCAGCCCTGCATCTCTGGAAAGAAGCCCACTTGACTAGAATCGATAATTTTTTATTGGGTTTTTCTTGAGTTCTTTGTTTATTTTGGAGATCAGGCCTCTGTCTGATGTGGGGTTGGTGAAGATTTTTTCCCACTCTGTAGGCTGTCGTTTTGTCTTGTTGACCAGTGACACTGCTTCTCACTGGGTGGCTCCCCCACGGAGGGCGTGTCTCTGAGACTGCGGGTCCACATGACCTTGACCTCACACCCTCCCAAGGACTGAGCACTGACAGCAGAGGAGCCCTCTGGAGGTGTCCTGGTTACCTGACTCAGAGAGCATACTTAGGTACAGAGTCTCTTTCCGTGCAGCTATCGTGTGGCTTTAATACTTTTTTCTCCCTACCTTGTGTCCTTAAAGTCAGTGGATCCTACCAGGATTGGCAGAGCCAGGGCGAGAGCCCTCTCCTTCCCTGCTGGGTGACTTCCTGCAGAGAGAAAGAACTCCTGTGTGTGCAGTGCTCTTGTGGCATCTCTGTAAATCTCACCTCAGCTCTGGTCGGATTCAACTTCTAAAGGGTCCCGGATGGATGCTTCTGGAAAAGGCCTCTCCGAGAAAAAGAAGATGGCACTGGAATCTAAGAGCTGGAATCCCTTCATCCCACGGGCATCTCTAGCCTCACTACTTCCAAGATTTTACATTGTTCTGTAATCCCAGCAGCACCTGGGAATCTGAGGCAGGAGGACTGCTGTGTGTTCAAAGGCCAGCCTGGGCTACGTAACAAGTTTCCAGCTATCCAAGACTACACAGCATAACATTATCTCAAAACAAAATCCTCCGGGCAGGTTGTTTCATCTCCGCACAGTACAGTTCCCCACATCTGAAACGAGTATCGTTTTCAGAAGGCTTTCGGGAGCGGCGCTGGCCGGCTGGCCCAGCCTGAGCAGCAAGTCCAGGTCCCAGTGAGATACTGTCTGAAAGTGCATGTGGGAAAGTCATGTGATTATATTTTAATTAAAAGATTTTAAATGAGGTGGACAACTTGATGTTGACTTCTTGTCTCCACATGTACGTGCACACAGGTACACACACATGTGTGCATGCACGTGCACACACATACACACACACACACGATCTCTTTATGGTTGCTCTGGAGAATAAGATATTCATATAAAGTGCAGAGGCACAATGCAGGGCATCTACAAGAGCTAGGAACATCAAAGTGTTATTAGGATCCTAGCCAGGTTGTGGTCCTGCCCGTCAAATAGGGATACAGGCTGGTGGCGGGGCAGGGCTAAAGTCCTCATAAGTGAAGGGCAGAGCCCTGAGGATGGCATCATTCCCCTGGAATCTTGGGAAGAAACCACCAAGTTGGAATTGGGAAGCATGTCTGAGGAGTGGGGAGTAGCGCCTCGTCATGTGCTTTTGGTGGGAGGAGGAAAGGACCATGTGAGATAGATGCTGATAGTCTCTGACACAAGGGCTGGAGATCCAGAGCCCCAAACTATGGATTTGAGCCCCAAACCTGAAGCAGTAGGTCCATCAGAGGATGACCCTGGTAAGGTCAGTCAGGGCGTGGAAGGGTACTCTCCTCTTACCCATCTCCAGGCCTTCTTAGCATGGGCCTTGTCCGAGGGCTTGGCCACTCCCAGCATGTGGCACCCCCACCTCTCAGCTGGGATGGGAGGCAGGCGGAGGCTGTCTGCGGGGGCTGTGCTGGGTGGGCAGTTTTCCCAGAGCGAGGAGTGAAGGATTGAGTTGGCGCCGGCTTCCTCAGATACAGACTCTGCTGGCTGGATGGCCAGCCTGTCCAGGCTAACTTGAGCCTAAGGGCTCCCTCGGGCTCTGTGTGACTGCTCTAGAGGCTATAGCTCCATACCCCAGGAGAGTGACATGTCACAGGAGGCCTCAGGGGCACCAGCAATGCCAAGAGCAGGGCATGGCCAGACTAAGGCCAAAGCACGGTTGCTTCTAGGTGCTGACAGGAAGAGGAGCCGCCTCAGCAAGACAAGGCAGGACCTATGGAACAGCACTAGCTGGAGTAATCACAGACTGAGCAGAGCCACCTCTGCCCCTCGAGGGACCAGAGCTAAGGGAACAGCTCATGGCAGGGTAAGGACTCTTTGGACTAGAGGAGGGAGCTGGGGAAGGCAGGGTTTGAGGGCAATGAGATGCCACCTCTGAGGGCAGAGCCTCAATCGGTATTTGATGGCTCCGCCCAAGGGCAGCATCCTTAGGCCCATGGTGCCACGCTGGAGGTGGGCAGGACAGGTCAGAACTCCATGAGAGCACAGCTCAGAGAGGTGACCTAACTACTGTCTGCTGAGAAACTCAGGCCCAGAGGATGTGAGCTATCTAAGGTCCCTGAACAGCAGCCAGTGGTGGAGGACCTAGACAGAGTATTTGTTATTTATTTGTATTTATTTATTCATCTATCTATCTGTCTGTCTTCCAGTCAGAGTCTCATGTAGTCCAGGCTAGCCTCAAACATCCTCTGTAGCTTAGAACCTGGACTTCTGATCCTTTTGCCCCCACATTCCATGCGCTGAGAGTATGTGCATAAACACCCAGTTTATGCCGCGATAGGGATCGGGCACAGGGCCTCACACATGTTAGGCAAACATTCCCCCAACTGAGCTACATCCGCAGTCCAGGACTGTATGTTCTGACTCTTGTGCAGAGTCCTTTCCTCTTTACCTAGTTGGGTCAAGGGTCAGCTAAGCAGGGGCATGGCTCTATGCTTCCTATAGCCCCCAGGGTACAGCAGGCTCTAGATTGGGAGTAGAACAGATGTTAATGGCATAATAGAAAGAATACGGGACTCAGGTTCTGAGCCAAGTGTTGCCACCTTCCTGTCATCTGATCCCAGTCCAGGCCTTCCTTCATTTTATTATGAAGCCTGGCTTCAAACCAGTGAGGCCCATTAGCTCCATAAGAAGACATGGCACTAATAGGGTCCTTAGAAGTCAGGACCAACCAGGCGTGGTGGTGAACTCCTATAGCCCCAGCACTTGAGGCGTAGAAGCAGGAGGATCCCAAATTCCAGGTCATCCTGGGCTATGCAGAGAGTTCAAGTCTAGCCTGGGCTACAGGAAACCCTGTCCCAACAATAGGAACTCTGACAAGAGAGCAGGGTGAGATGTACTCAAGGGGGCCTCTCTGCAGAGTGAAGCCTGCCCTGAGAACGCAGCACGGGAGCGGACCCGGGTGAGGACACTGCGCCAGGCCTTTTTGGCCTTGCAGGCTGCTTTGCCTGCCGTACCACCTGACACAAAGCTTTCCAAGCTGGACGTGCTGGTGCTGGCCACAAGCTACATAGCCCACCTCACCCGAACGCTCGGCCACGAGTTGCCTGGCCCTGCCTGGCCACCCTTCCTGCGTGGACTCCGGTACTTAGACCCCCTCAAGGTAGGTCGCTGGCCTAGGGTCTTGGTAGGAAACCTTGGGGAGGGAAATGGTATTGGGGGCATTTTCCTCCTGTTCTCTCAGCAGGGGGACAGAGGCTGGCTCTTGGAGTGGAGCGGTGACTGGGTGTTGTCTGCATGGGAGTGGATTGCTCCAGGAGGAGAGAAACGCTCTGAGATTCTTAGTGTCTGGGGAAGAGAGGAGTGGGTTCCTGTTCTAAGGCCCAGGACCCAGGAGAGTCACCCATTTCCAAGCAATTTCACCTCCTTGAGTAGCGAGTGGCGCCGGCCTTTCTGGTCTCTGACTATTGTTGCTGCAGACATCTGGTCTCTGGGAGGACAACATCCTAAGCCCCCCCCCCCCAGTGCTCTGGAAACACCCATTGGAAGGCAAGCCACCCGGTGTAGGTCAGAGGTCTTCCAGCAAGCACCATGGCAAACCATTACCCAGTTTCCTGAACCTTAGCTTGAGAATGCACTAAGATTGAATGCTGAAGATAAGCTGGAGGCCAAGCTGAGAACCTTAGGGCAGTCCCCCTGCCCCCTCCCCCACTTAGGGCAGTCCCCCTGTACCCCCACTTAGGGCACTCTACCTTCCTCCAACCAAGTCTTGCTCTTCTTGAGGTCCTTACTGCCCTCAGTGGGCTCCTGTGCCGTTGCCAGGCAGCAGGGAGACCCTCTAAAGCTGTGACATCCAGAGGACATATCAGAGGATGCCAGACTTAAGGTCTTAATTGTTTCCAGGCTATTCAGGACCACACAGTAGCTGTGTTAATCATTCCCCGTCTTCTGTCTTCTCAGAAGTGGCCCATGCGATCTCGTCTTTACGCAGGAGGCTTAGGATGCTCTGGCCTCAATTCCACCACAGCCACCGCTGCCAGCCAGAGAACCAGGGACGAAGAGGTGGGGTCTCAAGTCTCTGTAGCCACAGATGTTCTTGTCGCCGATCCAGTATCTCCAGCTCTTGGTAACAAATGACCAGCCCCTCATCCTCTTCTCTCAGACTGTGGCTCTCACGTAAGGAATCGGATTTTCTACAGCTCTCCCTGTCTTTCCCCCTGACTCTCAGCCTTTGGAATTAACTCAGGCTCAACTTTCAAGTTCAGGCTCGGCTTCCGGCAGGCAGAAGAAGCAATGGTGACGTCAATGGTGGAGAGTTCTGAGGGGACCCAGGATGAAGATCTTCACCTTTGGCTCTTAGGAGGGGACATTCCTGGCACTTCTAGGTAGTGGCAGGAAGTGAAAGAGCAAAGTGTTTGATGTGGTTTAAAGTCAAGCTAGGGAATCACCCTCCTCTTACTTCCCTAGGCTTCTTCCCAGCGAGAAAACAGAAATGACTCTGCAGGCTCAGGTGGAGGAGGCTAGGCTGGCGTTAGCCCCAGGCGCTCTTGGCCGCACAGGGAACAGGAAGGGCTTTTGGTAGCAGTACACGTGACCTCTAGGTCACAAGGTCACAAAGCCAGAGAGGAAACTGAAGAATAAAGTGTGATTTTTTTTAAAAAATTGCCCTACAAGATACTTATCTAACATCAAAGAGGAAGCAAAAAGTTTAGAGTTCTTGTCCCTGGATATGGTCTCTCCAGCTGCCCCCATCACCACATTCCCCCACCAAGGCCCTGCATCCTTTCACACTTTCTTAGCACGGGCTCTGTCTAGAGATGAAGCCACCACACTTACACGGCTTACATTCCAGGGGAACTCCCAGCTGTCTAGGGGGAGATGGTTTTATCCCAAAGGCATCTCTACTTTCACTCAATGAGGCAGCCAATCACAGTCCTGCCTCCAAAAGGTTGGCACCATGCACTCAGCTGTCTCCTGGAAGAGACTAAGACGAGGCATGTGTATCTTTCGGGGGGGGGGGTGTGTGTGTGACAACTATGGTCTTCATTTCTGTTATATTAGAAACCTTGCCTCAAGAAAATACAAGACAAGCATGTCCTCTGTGTCATCACTAACTGGGGCTTTGTTGGTTTGGGTATAATCTATACAGTTCTAGAAATCAGCTCCCAAGGCCAACTTCTCCCCACAGACATTGACATCCCAGGCCTGCTCCAAGTCGTGGGACAGAGTGCCAATATTTTGCTATAGCTTTAGTGACACTAGTCCTTGACCCTGAAGAAATAATTGGAGGACAAAGCACACAATGCAACGAGCCTTCCAAGTCAGGTAGAGTTTCAGAAAGGCTCCTCAAGCCTAGACACAGAAGAACAGCCTTCCTGTCAAATTTTAGTAACCAAGGCCAACTAGAGTCCTAACCGGATGATCGTGAGCCGAGTGAGGCTTAGGCAGGCTGGAAGGGATGGGTCTGCTCCTCCTGGGCTGACCAGGGCATTCGGGGAAAGGGGGTTGAGGGGGTGACTCAGCAAGCTGGGGTGTAGCTAGAAGACACAGAACGTCCCAGCCAGAGCTGCATGGGCTGTGGGAGAGCAGCTGGGCTGTGGCTGGGAGCCATCGCAGAAGGCCTTAGCCAAGGCCAAACGCATAAATCTGCCCGGTCCCGCATTTCTGCTAAGAGACCCTGAGAACTTGTCCAGAGCTGATGCGGGCAGCTGGACGGGGCCAGGCAGGGGCAGTGACCAGGTGTGGGAGGGCAAAAGCAGTATTCTTCACAAGACCATAAAAGTCCAGCCTAGGGGGTTCTATTTTTATTTTTTTTTTTTATTTTTTATTTTAATTTATTTATTTATTAAGAATTTCTGCCTCGTCCCCACAACCGCTTCCCATTTCCCTCCCCCTCCCCCGATCAAGTCCTCCCCCCCCTCATCTGCTCGAAGAGCAATCAGGGTTCCCTGACCTGTGGGAAGCCCAAGGACTGCCCACCTCTATCCAGGTCTCCTAAGGTGAGCATTCAAACTGCCTAGGCTCCCACAAAGCCAGTACGTGCAGTAGGATCAAAAACCCACTGCAATTGTTCTTGAGTTCTCAGTATTCCTCATTGTCCGCTATGTTCAGCTAGTCTGGATTTATCCCATGCTTTTTCAGACCTAGGCCAGCTGGCCTTGGTGAGATCCCAATAGAACATCCCCATTGTCTTAGTGTGTGGGTGCACCCCTCGTGGTCCTGAGTTCCTTGCTCGTGCTCCGTCTCCTTCTGCTCCTGATTTGGACCTTGAGATTTCTGTCCGGTGCTCCCGTGTGGGTCTCTGTCTCTGTCTCCTTTCATCGCCTGATGAAGGTTAATATTCCTGAGGATGCCTATGTGTTTGTCTTTGGATTCACCTTATTTAGCTTCTCTAGGAACATGAATTATAGGCTCAATGTCCTTTATTTATGGCTAGAAACCAAATATGAGTGAGTACATCCCATGTTCCTCTTTTTGGGTCTGGCTTACTATTTTTAAAATCAAATACAGCATCTCCCTGGTTGAGTTGTTGGAGGGTGGTAAAAAGATGTGTCCATGATTTCCTCCCAGTTGGTGACATAAAATTGGTCTCTGGGAAGGCAAATGACTGGTTTTGGGTATGTACTGGAAGTCCCCTCACAGCTTAGAACATCTCCCAGTGATCGGGTAGAGTTAGATTTAGAGCCTGGAGTGTCCACCCTGCCCAGACTCAAGCTTTTGCCTCATTTTGACAACTCCCTCAGGACTGAACACTTACCAGTGCCCTGGTGGAGAAGACAAAGAGGATGAAGATGGTAGAGGATTGGGTTAAGAACAAGCCCATCAAAGAAGAGATACTTTTTGTTTTTATTTGTTTTGTTTTTTACATAGTTCACTGTGTAGCCCAGGCTGGCTTTGAACTTGAAATTCTTCTGCCTCAGCAGGGATGATGGGCTCACAGGCCTTTACCTCTCTTCCCAACTAGGATATGTTTCTAAGGCTGCTTCCAGGGAATACGGTTTTCTTGGTGACTAAGACAGTCATCTGGTCCAGTCACCCCTGGGAGCCAGGGGGGGCTGGCAGTGGGGAAAGGAGCCAAAGCCAAACGAAGACTCAGGGCACGACCGGGGGTCCACCCTCTCTAAGGAGCCCAATACTGCCCTTGGGAAATAGCGCTCTGGGGACTGGAGTCTGTAAGCCAAGCAGAAGCAGTAATGAGCCCCTTTGTTCCCACAGCAGAGGAAGAAAAGCACCTGCTGACTGGGAGACCTATGCTCTCCAGTGCTGGGGACATGACAGATAAGGGCAGTTAGAGGCCGTAGAAGGAGCTGAAATCTGTCTCCATCAACAGCAATTCCCTAGGACCAAGCATGCGCAGGGAAGAATATGCCTAATTGAAGGTGACATGCGGTGTGAAGATTCCCTGGTCCAGGAGTCAGTTGCACGGCTGCACCCAGTGAACCTAGTCCATTCTGCTTTCTTCCAGTCCTCAGGGTGAGGTGCAGGCAGAGTGGGAAGGAAGACCTCGCTGTTGCCTCCCTCCACCCAGCTGGATGTGCTCCAAGAGCCCATGGCTGAGGCTCCGATGGAGCTTTGGAAGGGCACATTTAAGGATGACGGTGGCCGTGGACTTATCCCTACAATAAGTTACTCTTTAGAAATTAAATTTAACTCATCTGCAGCTGGAAGCAGCAGCAGTGTCACTGCAGAGACTGTGGGGAAGCAGTCAGACCCAGAGCTCGATCACATTTCACATGTTAGAAGTCTGGGAAAGACATGAAAATGTTCACTGGAAGTGTGTGTGTGTGTGTGTGTGTGTGTGTGTGTGTGTATCTGTGTGTGTGTGTGTGAGAAATGACTACCTGCACTAAGAATAGATCATTAGCATGCTGTGTGCTGGAGCTGCTATCATGACTAAATAAAACAGCATTGAGTGAAAACAGTTATAACAAATATATTTCTTTTCTTTTCTTTTTTTTCTTTTTTTTTTTTTTTTGATTTTTCGAGAGAGGGTTTCTCCGTAGCTTTTGGTTCCTGTCCTGGAACTAGCTCTTGTAGACCAGGCTGGCCTCGAACTCACAGAGATCCGCCTGCCTCTGCCTCCCGAGTGCTGGGATTAAAGGCGTGCGCCACCACCGCCCGGCAACAAATATATTTCTAAAAATTTCTATATCCTGGATGACTTAATCAAATCCACAAAGATCCTGCCTACTGCATCAGCATCAGTGTAGATTCTTGCAGTGAATTACACAAAACAAACTGAAAATTTTGTGATGCTTACAAACAAATTCATGCTTCCATCATTTGGTTTTCACGGTGTGGATGATCTGTGTCTAGTGAGTAAGTGGCATTTATTGGCATCCTTTTATTCCAGTTTTAAAACAACGATTTCATAGTCCCGCATTATCTATTTAACACTATAATTTTGTTGTATTTGTGTGTAGGAGAGAAAGAAACAGGAGAGCAGCTCAACATTAGTTCAAACTGATTTCAATCAAACTCGTAGAAACACCTGTCTTACCCTTCAAACTGCTGGGTTCATAGGTGTTGCCACCACACCTGACTTCACTTTCCATTTGAGTCTCCTGTATATTTATAATTTTATTTATAATATTAATAATTAATATTCCAGCATATAAAAATGAACTTATGACATTCATCAGCTAAACTTAAATTTACTTGGCATATTTTGAATATGCATACTTTAATAAAAATTGTATTTTGTAACTATTAAAAAACTTTGGGTATTTTGACTTTAAATAATTTGATACTAGTAATTCAAGAACTGAAAATATTTCTCACTGCTAATTAAAAGCTTATTCAATATTATACCAATAGCAGTGTAACAATGATAAACTTAGAAAACGAAAAATATTAAAAATTAATTCATTTTATTAAAACACTCAAACTCCTACTGAAAATTACTTAGTTTATATTTTTGTTAAGATAACATTGAAATGATTTAAATAATTTATTTTCTCTTTTAGAAAAATAAAATACAATGAGAAAGAAATAATTTAGTGAATAAGTGAAGTAGGATTCTAGATGCTTTTGAGATAACCAAAAAGATCTACTTCATTAAAAAATATTACAACAGGATAAACATATGTAAGAAAAATTTCAATCTAATTAATAGAATGTTAAGACCATCTTACATT